CACCTTCTCATACTTAAAGTTAATACATTACATGGAAAAGTCATTCTTGTTTCCTGGGGTTTATTGGATTTGTCCAAAACCACTTCATACTGTTATACAGTTTCTTTCAACACAGCAGAGTTACTATACTTGATTACTTTTGCAATTTTTAGCACCAGTTCTGTTCAAGAATTATTCTGCAATTTGCTTATGGTTCCAAATAGCCAGATGTATAAGAGAAAGACCGGAAATTCCACAAAGTGGAGTAGAGAGGAAGAAGTCTGTAATTCTCACCAAAACATTTGTAACTGTATACAACAAATATTTCAATAATAACCTGTTCTGTTTTTTCTGTCTCCAGCTGAGTGTGGCTTTCCCAGCAATATTCTGTATATGCACAGTATTTCTGGTGGTAGTGCCACTCTATAGCGACACTATAAATTCATTGATTGGAATTGGCATTGCATTGTCTGGAATTCCAGTCTTTTTCTTGGGAGTCTATTTACCTGCATCAAGGAGACCTCAGTTTATCAACAAGATTTTAGGTAAGTTTCTTTGTAGATGGGGATGTTGTTAGGAAAGAGGAAAATTAAATAAGTGAATCTTGGTTTGTTGATGAAGAGGGTTGTGGTTGACGCCAGCCAGCAGCTACGTACCCACCGACCCGCTTGCTCACCAGCACCCGCCAGTAGGATAGGGGAGAGAATAGGAAGAACAAAGGCAAGGAAACTTGATGGTCAAGATAAAGGCAGTTTAGTACGTGAAGGAAAGAGGGTAAAAAAACCTGCTGCTGCAAATGCAATCACTTACCACCTCCCACAAGCAGACCGATGTGCAACCAGTCTCCAAGCAATAGCCACCTTGGAAGACACCCTCGTACATGCACGCACTTCTTCCTCTACCCCGTTTTCTTTCGCTGACTATGACATGATATGGCATGAAATATCCCTTTGCTTAGTTTGGGTCAGCTGTTCTGGGCATCTCCCCTCCAAACTTCCTTCCTCCCCATCTGGTTGCAGAGAGGGCAGAGTGGGAGAAAAAAAGCCTCGATACTGTGCACACACTATTCAGCAACAGCCAAAATACTGGTGTGTTACCAACGCTGTTTGAGCCACAAATCCAAAACACAGGACTATATGGGCTGCTATGAAGAATGTTAACTGCATCGCAGCCAGACCCAGTAAAGGGGTATGCTGATTTTATGTATGTTTTTACACCCAGATCTTATTTACTGTATATTTAATCATAGAATCATAGAATCGTTTAGGTTGGAAAAGACCTTTAAGATCATCCAGTCCAACCATTAACCCACCCTACCAAGTCTACTCTAAGCCAATCAAGGGTAGACTAGACTAAACCATGTCCCGAAGTGCCACATCTACCCGTTTTTTGAACACAAAAGACCCTCCACTTTCTACAGATTTTGTCCTCAGTTTTTATGCATTTCTCTTTAATCAAGCAGATGAAGAGTCTTTTTCTTAAGCAAGGTTGATGACTGTAAAAGGGCTGGACATTCTTGGTGATGCAAGCTAACTGTCTTGCTTTACTGAATCAATTGTTTGAGGATGGATAGATTTTATGTCAGTTCCAGATGGAATTTTGCCTTCTGCTGAATTGCTGCAGTTAAGCCACACATTTCCCTCCAGCAGTACACTGTTGTCATTGTTACTATGTGAGAAAACCATGATGAGGGATATGGAAAGGAAGGTTTATAGCATAATTTTAGAATGCAACAGAAATGGCACTGCAGCAGCTAGTGAATATGTAAATACTCAGTAATCTTGTCACTTTCCTGTGTTTTGCTACTTGAAATTCTTGGTTTATTTTTTTATTCTACCAATTTTACACTCTTAATTACAGAGAAAAAAGATGTTACTTCAGTTAATTGGCAGGGTGCCTAAGAAGAAAAACACCCTAGGATATCAACAGAACAGTCTTAAACATTATCTGTTTAAAAAACTGAGTGGAAGACACTTTTTGTATTAACTTTTATTGTTTGTTTCCCTTAAAGGAAGTGAGGCAGCATTCTTGACAACTAACTTTTGTTAGTCAGATGCATGTTGTGTAATTTAGCATTGAGGTGGCTATTCTTCTGATTTATCTTCAATTTCCTATGCAGGTGCAGTCACACGAAACATGCAGCTGCTCTGTTACTGTGTTTTAACAGAGATAGACACAAATGAAGAAAAGAAGTTAGAAATCAAATCCAACTAAAATTTCAAAGCCACTACAAGAAACAGGAGGGAGGATAAAGCAATTATGACAACAAAAGGGAAGAGATGGAACTGGAAAAAATGGGAAAACTGTTTCCAGTGGTGTTTCAGAAACACTGAAAATGTACTTACTTGCAGTTGGATTCCGACATGAGTTGTGCCCTTGTGTCACCCTCCTAAACTGTGGCATATTTTCAGGGCATGTTTTCATTGGATAATGATTACCTACTCATTGCAGGCACACAAGCTATGTGTCAATACTGTTCCTTCTTCAGAATTGGTATTAAAATGGTAAGAGCTAATGGATCAAATTAGATTTCTGCAGAACCAGGTGGTGAAGTAATGCATTTTTAAGTTAGACTGAAAACCACTTTGACTCAAAAGACCACGTCATTCCAGCTTAATTCTGATGGATGTTTGCATGAAGTGATTTGCTGTGCTATCTCAGTTCTTACCCGGAAGGCTGCTGGTCACAACAAACTACCTAATTTGTCATTATTAGCAGAAGAATGAATAAAGTTGTTCTACATTATTTAAAGACTGAGCCAACCTTTCTCCCTTAAAGAGTAGTATTTTATTCCGTACGCTATGTGGAAATGTGGTATCTGACTGTGGCAACGATGTAATCAACAAAGGACCTTGGCACTAAAGATTTGATTAACATTTGATGATTCTTTCCTGTGAGCTTGTTAGTAGTTGGGTCAACTTGTGACAGGCTTTATGAAACTTCCAAAATTAAAATGTTGAGTTTGAAGCTTGTAAGCATTTGCTTCTGAACTGTTGCAGTGAACACCCATTAACAGTGTTACCTCAGCAGTCAGAAAATTCCCTTTGTAAGTTTCAGTGCCCTTCACTAGAAAATGACCATCCAAAAAACTCACAGAACAAACCACTTCCTTTTTTTTTTTTCTATCGCAGAAGTAAAGTTCTGTGGCAGCAACTATATCTTGAAAGCTAAGTAGCAGGAGAGAAAATGGAAATAAAGCCAGAAATAAAAAGTAGCATTGCAATACAGACCAATGCTAATTAGTAGTATTTGTAATTCCAAAGCTGTAATCCTAACATGAGGACACTTCAATACTGAATTTTGGTGCAGCAAAAGGTAACACAAAGCCAGCCTGTTTGGCTACCTGAAATTTTTATCTTAGTTCAGAATGCTTACCTCAGTTGCCGAGTTTGTCCACATGTGCATTTTTTTGTGTGTTGAACTAAATCTTGTAATCACAAGAATATGGTTGAAGCAATGCACGCTTCAAATACTGCACCACATTTGCATCAGCCACTTGAATAATACTGAGAGTATTTGGATTCTTGTACTGACTCCCTGACCAAGGTTATCTTAAAAAGCTACAGATAACAGCAAGTTAGGTGGTGACAACTAACATAAACTGGAGTCTTGGCCTACCTTTGTGAAGCAGCATTGGGACTTAAGATAGTTAAATTCTAGCTGGGGAACCTTGTGCACAGTTGGCACATAAAACATGTAGAGTCTTCTTAGTGTTTATTGAAAATTAGCATTTAGCTATTATAATACAGTTCTTTAGTCTTTCACATGATTAGAATTAATTCAGTATCTAAGTTGAGACATCTGTCCAGTGGGCAATATAGCTTTAACAGGCTAGGGTTGTGGCATAGGTTATATTAACCTAGATATAGGCCATATTAACCTTTCTGTAAAAACAAGGGAAAAAAAAATTTGTCCCCATTACCTTGACATCACCAGCCAGAACTGACCTAAAGTCACTCCTGCAACCTACAGCTCATGACTGACACAGATCTAACATCCTATTAGCTATTTTTTTTTACAGACTCAGGTAGGAGAGTGCTGAAATACTTTGTATGTCCAAACAGGTAAGATTAAATTGTTTTAAAGATGAATATAAGTTAAAATGCTGACATGGCTTCAGCTGTACCAACTCCTATGATCTCTAAATGAGTAAAGAAAACTTAAGTCAAAAATTCTTTATTTACAATTTAAATGCACATATATTGTTCTACTCCAGTAGTAAAATTACTGGAGAGAGATCCAGCAATAAAATGCACAGGTCAAGGCATTCCATATGCTCAAGCACTTGTAAAGAAGGTAACTTGAAACTTAGGAACAAATACAGTAGACAGAGTGCCTTTTTCCAGGACTCCCACTTGCCATCATGGCAGACACATTGATCTTCTTGGGAAACCCGACACATTAGTCATGACAAGAAGAGCTGCTGCCAACAGTACCTCCATATATAATGTGGAGGTACTGTGGGTACAGGTACAAATGCTTGGGTGTGCAGCTTTAAAAAAAAAAAAAAAAAAAAGTTCCTTCAGAACCTCAGCATTACAGAACAGTCAGAAAAAGTATTTTAAAGCATATAGTATCTTTTGCTTGGAACGAAAATTTGTATTGTCAAGTTGCATATTCACACCCATCTGTTTACTACCTACCAGCTGAAGTTAGCTGCTCAGATAGCAACAGCTCAGATAGTAAAACGTTTTAGCATTTACTGGAATCCCAATCTAGTCTAATACTCAAGCCTAGTCAGTAAGCATTAGGGTGAACATGCTAGTCACCAACAGTTTCAGAAGGCTCGACAGGCAAAAATTTAGCTTAAAGCTCATCCATGTGAAGACTGGTTTCCTACTGTCCCAATGAGCGCAACTTTTACCGGAAAGTGGTTTTCCAGGGTTTGGGGTTTTTTTTGTTGTTGGTTTTTTTTTTTTTTCCTTTCACTTAAACATTTTTACAAATACCCATCAGCAGCTGTCTGGATTTTCAGTTCTACTGCAGTGGTAGAATTTCATCTTCAGTATGCATTTCATCTTCAAAAAAGGGCTGTTTAGTCAGAATCCAAATCCTGGATCTCATCATATCCAAATTCCTGTAGAACCTCCTGTCGGTATTTGTTCCATGTTCTTCTCCTGTAACATTGGTCCTCGTCACTGAAGCTCTCTTCAGACTCTAAAGAAAGAACATCAATACTTTTAGATTATCCCTTCTTTTTAGTTAGGTTAATCAGACTATTTTAAGCTTCTTGAGTAACTAACAAATACAAAGTCTGAACAGCTTCTATATTAGGTGAGGTTTGAATTGTGCTTGGAGTGCACTGGGATGGGAGTTAGGAAAGCAGAGGCAGTGTTTCACAAGCACATGGAACCAAGTCATCTATCCCTTCTCAAAAGAAGCAATCCTTTGCAAGTGCAGCAACCTGAAATGAAGTTCTTAATTTTGACTTTGCAAAAACACTAGGAACCCTTGTAGTTCCAAGAAAGACGATCCTTCTATAAGCAGATTTAACCCATTATAAGAGCGGAACACTACCCCAGCAGTGCTCAGTTAGTTGCTTTTATAGAAAGACAGCATGTAAAAATAGATGGGATTTATATGTGCACAGCATGAAAGCAAACAATATTTATGACAGGCATACCTTTTTCTCCATCACCATCTTCCTCAGGTAAGAATTCATCTTCATCAGGATAATCATTACGCCAGTTATTTTCATCATTTTCATCATCTTCATCTTCATATATTTCCCCTGGAACATGATCATCATCTACCTGCATGTCAACACAAAACATTAACATTCACTATAAATACAGGCACTTGGCATCGGTTTTTCATCCACCTACACAATACTGTACAAATCATAAAGAGCGAAGAGATACTTATGTACTGCAAGCCTAAGTTATTCAACAGCTGCACAAAGCACACTGTAGAGAAATCTGTGTTGTCACTATATTTACCATAGCACAGCAATCCGCTTTAGGTGAAAAACCAGTTAAGCCATGCATTTAAGTGTTCCAGTTCAGCATTTAAATGCCAAGGTTAATGTCTAAATTAATCCTTCACTTCATCAGTACTGTAATAGATCAAGGAAAAGAAAAAGCAGCTTCAGGTTCCTGATAGGCAAGTCTATTGATCACAGTATCTATACAATGAAAGACTAAAGCTTACATTAACTTCCTAACTCCACAGTCACTGAAGGACAATTCTATTAGAAGAAAATATCTCATATTAAGATTGAAGTCAAGTCCTCAAGTCCTCAAATACTGAAAAAGTTGTGTGTGTCCCCTTGCTCCTTTTTCTACCCAACTGTATTTACAGCTAGATTTTAATCGCTGTCTCCTAGTCACAAATGAGACGTGAATTGCTTGTTTACATTTGTGTGCCAAAATTTATTTGGCAATTTGAAGCCAGACAAATTCTTCCAAGTACATGAGCACTATCCCTTCAGTTTTTGTTGTCATATCATAATTTGAATCAACAGTAACCTGGAGGAACACAGGACTGGCAGTTACAAAAAGTCGAATACAGAAGTCACTGAGCACACGTGTAGTATCTCAAAGGATCTTTCTTGGCATGGCAACTTCTAATGCTAGGACTTCAAGCACATTTATTTGTTACCTTCTATTTAAGAAAGATCTGTTTTCCCACATCCTTACCAGTTCATATTCTTCTCTGTAGGGCTGTACAGAAAGGATATTTTGGATCCAACCAGGGGCTGATGTTTCCATGTAGTAGATGTCATAAACATACTCATCTTCTTTCTCACGGTGCTCTTTTTTACCATCTTCAGAAACATTTAAACGCTCACGGATCATCTCTACTGCATTGCAAAGAATGACATCTGGATCAGTCTTCTGCTGAGAAAAAACAGAAGATAAAAAGTGCGTATTTCCACTGAAGCCACACACACAAAGTTAGTTACAGCCAACAGTTTTCTTTGTAGATGGTAGCCAACAGCTAGCTAAGGATGACATTCTGAAATCTTAGGCCGAAACACTTGCCCATTGGAACGCTGATATTTGGAACATTAGCAACCTAGAACAGAAAAACACCAAAGAATTTTCCAATTAACTTAGTACAGCCAGCCATACCTTGTTTCAGATAATAGGATAAAACTTCTGGAACAAATTAATTATAAACTACTGAAGGGGATATGACTAATCCCATAGAACTGTTCCTCTGTTTCTGATGACATGTTGGTTGAAATGGCAAGTTTTAAGACAGCCTGTGCTTCAGAGAGCATTACACTTCCAACACGGCAGGAAAACACGTGCATACAGTAGCACTGATAACATGCAAGCAGATTACAGTATACAAAGTGTGCAGGAGAAACAATGAAAATATGACAGATTAACAGAAAAAGGCTGACAGGCCCTACGGATATTCTTCCTATTTCTTTTATTTCCTTCAACATTAACACAGAAGAAACTTCTTCATGCTTTCTCCTTCCTAATAAATTATTTGCAATGTATTTACTTTAGTGACCTGCACTTGAAGGCCTACACAGGCAGGCTTTTGCTGCCAATTTTTCTCTGCTAGAGCTTTTCAGAATATCTTTCCCAATTCACAGCGGTGTCTCCTGAACTACACAAGTAATTCTGAGGAAAAGCTACAGGCCAGCCTTTCATTCGCTTGTAAATACTTACAGAATGAAAAAGAAAGCTTACTTCTTGCTTTCAACACTTTGCTAGCTCAGTTTCATGTCTCTTTCTAATCAGCAGAGCAATAGAGAACAGTTAACTAGCAGATCTCAAATGTGTGTTTGAACTACATGCTTAATAGAAAGCAAGAGTTCGTACTAAGTTTGATGGCAAAGCCCTGAAATAACCTGTAAGAAACACTGAAGGATGACAGCTGGTTGGGCTCGTCCTCACCTGAGTATCTTCTTTAACATTAAGCGTTTAATTTTTCCTCGAGCTGTGATGGGCTGCATAAATAAAGCATCCATGTGTACTTACAGCAGAGGATCTACTAAACAAAGCATACACAGCCCTCTTACCTTCTTTTCCATACGGTTAAGAGTCTCTTTAATACAAAATCTTCAAAACACTCTGTATGCAGGGCAACCCTATACAGAAGGCAGAGCTTCTTCATACTTAAAATCATTCTAGATACTGAGCAAATATTCCTCCAACTGAAAACATAAACTTAACTCATAATACCAATGAAAACACGATGTAGAGGCTTAAGCAGCCTGTCAGACACCTGGAATTCTGCTAAAAACAAAATATACAATAAGACCATATATTGCAATTCTGAGAAGGGGAGGCTCAAAAGTATCTTTTCCTTTAGTGAATCTTGCCTACAAGTGACATTCCTAGACATCTGAGCGGATGAGAAGACATTGAATTACATTTTTTCTTTTCTAGGTAGAGAAGTTAATCAAAAACCTCAGAGATCCAGCTGACAGATGAATGTGAGAATTTGTACATCAGAACAGGGTACAGAAAACACAGGGTGGTACAAATCCTTCCTGTAGCAGCCAACTCCACACGGCTGTCTCTCTCAACATTAGTGCGCTTAAGGTTCCTCATGAAAGTTACTCCCTGTACAATATTCCAACTTGCAAATACCTAGTTAAAGCTCCTATTAAATAGTGGAATACTTACAATGCAAAAACCTTCCACAGCAGTCAGTTTGCCCACATGTACCAGTCAACAGTGTAAAGCCAACAGCGCAAAGTACTTCAAGTACCCTAAATTCGTTTGCTGACCTGTGGGTTTGCAGCAGTTACACTGGAGTCTCCCACCACCTCCTCTTCTTGTTCAATATCAAACAACTGGAACTTCCCACAGCAGTCCAAACTCTTATCAACAGCACCGCTCTCCTTTTGTGAAGCGCCTTCCACTGCTTCAGAGTCTGATCTGTCACCATCAATGGATGCCTCGCCATTTGTGAGAGGTGCAACTGTTTCAGTACAGTTTGGTCGATGGCTGGCTATTACACGGTAACGGTTTTCCTTCCTTTTCACTTGCTTGGAGGAACGGAGTTCCTGAATGATTCGTTGAGTGCTTCCTAAAGAGGGTCGCAGACTTTGAGCTGCTTTGTCTCGAGTGATCACTTCCTGAACGTATTTCTGAACTGGTTCATTCTAGGTAGAGGAACAAAACGAAGGAGGAATATAATGACACCACCAACATAGTAAGTCATACTCCTTCCTAAAAGTAATGAATAACTACTGTTAATGGTACTTCGTATTTGAGGACTGCTGTACCAATGTTCCTAACAACATTCAAGTACTGTTTGTACTGCTACTACTGCTTTAAGCAACACGATTATCATAGTATTCTCTTGATGTGGAGAAAGAAGTATAAGATACTCGTAAATTGTAAGACTGTTTCAATTTGATTTTTAAACAGTATACTTTGTGGTAGAGAATAACCCTCCAAACAAAAACATGTGCCTTTGGAAGACTGTGATGGTCCTAAATTTAAGGCGTGATAACCTTTACAGTCTCCTATAAAGACCAGTTGCCAAGAAAGACCAGTTTTATTCGCTATAAGGCTGTACAGTGGATGAAAGTTGTTAGCCTTGTAGGGCTGAGCTTCAACACCTCAAACAGCAGAAATTCAGGCTTCATTTATTGACTGTTCTTTACGGAAAGGGTGGTCAAGAATTGGAACAGGCTGCCCAGAGAGGTGGTGGAGTCACCATCCCTGGAAGCGTTCAAAAAACGGGTAGATGTGGCACTTCGGGACACGGTTTAGTGTAGTCTACCCTTGATTGGTTTAAAGTGGACTTGGTAGTGTAGGTACTTCACCAGCACAGGCCGGCATCTCGCCCCCAGCCGCTCCTCTCCAGGCTACCAGCGAGAACTTCGCACCCACAAAGCATCCCGAAAGACCCGCGTGGAGCAGCACGCTAAACCTGGAGAAAGCCTGCTGCTTTCAAAAGAGCCTCAGAGAACAACGAAACGCCCCGGCTGCATCCAACCGCCCCCGCC